TTATCTTTTAATTCATCAAAACCGACTTAGGGATTGAACTCAGATCCTTGCGCTTGCCAGGGAAGTGCTTATTCCACTGAGCCATCTCCCCAGCCCCAAAACCAACTATTGAAGAAATCTATGTTTAAGTGGCCAGGTATATACAATCTTCAAGAAACCGTCTGAAGCCCTTTACCTCTAGCCAGTCTCCACAGGCGCTGGCAGTTTGGGGGCCTCATCCCTGGCCAGCCTTTTTTGGACACTGGCCTACCCTTTCCTCCTCGTTTCAGCTACATGAACTCCCAAGCTAACTCAGCTTCCTTGTTCCCCCTCATGTGCCTCAAACATCTACCCCTTTCCCTGCTGTAAATTAAATCATTTAGAATTGGCGATCTTATTTAAAGTCCCGTGCTATGGCACAATTATAGTGGCAGATCTTGAAAACAATACCCATTAGGCTAAGCCCCAACCATCTATCTAGCAGTACCCAGGGGGGCCCTCTCCATCCAGGGCAGGCGCTTCTGTCTTGTTGCACCACGACAAGCAGTCCTCAGCATGCTTACCTGACAGCCCGCTGACCAAGGGGATCCTCCAGTCTCACACCAAATCTCTCAGGTTTCTTTGGCCACCATGGTCTCGTAAGCCCCACTCATCCGTGTGACTTGGGGTTTTCAGATCCTGCTACCCAGTGGCAACAGAAAAATGACAGGGGGGAAAAAAAAAAAGAGGGAAATATCAGGATTAAACATTGAAATATATTCATCATGATACTACCTTTACCTCTAAATTAAGAGGATTCCTAATCAAATCTAAGAGCCTTTTCTCAGCCTGTTACAGTAATTTTCAACCTAGGGTGGTCTGCACCCCAGAGGATTATGTGGAAATGTATTGACATTTTTTGGTTGCTGCAACTAAGGGGATGCTACTGGCATCTAGTGGGTAGAGGATAGGGATACTGCTCAGCATCCTACAATATACAGGATAGTCACTATAGCCAAACAGTGCCCAGACCCCACACGTTCCCAGCGCAGAGCCCATGGTCCAAGCTGGCTGTGTTCACTGTGTCTGCCTCCCAGCTCTCTTCCGGGCACTCCAGGCTCTCCTGGACTGTTTTCCTTTTTCTTGCCCAGTACTACAACTGTTCTGCTCTCACCCAAAATACTTTCTCTCTGTAGAGTCTTTAACCTGATGTAGTGATCTCACATCTTAGCAAGGTTGACTGCCAATTTGAATTTATGCCCTATACCTTTCTTCTAAACTTTAGGCCCTTCTTCCCAAATAATGGGCTGGAGAAAAAAGAAGGAAAAAAAAAAAAAAAAACCTGCCTCACTGCACAGTTCTTTTTGCAGTTGTACCGTGTTTCAGATCAAACTGACATCATATCACTGTCCCCTTCCTACCTCCTCTTCCTGATTTTGCTGTCCTTCCCACAGTGTCCCATAATCCAGGGGCCACTCTAGGGCTCCTCCACCTTTTGTGTCCCTCCAACACAGGCATTGCCAGGGGGTGTGCTTAAGTCCTTTCTTTAGCCTTGGGAGCCTTTCAGTTTGGCTAAGTCTTTCTCTAAAAGGCTGTAAACAGCTTCAGCCTGCTCGGTGCATAATCCCTTTTGTTCTCTTAATGGGGACCATCCTCCTCCATTGTATCTACTTTTCATTAAAATATGCCTCAAATCCCCACTTGCAGGACAAAACTTTTATTTTCTACCAAAAGAACCTCAATGTCTCATTGATATTTGTTTCTCAATAAAATTTAAAAAAGAACCTCAAAAGTCCTCCTGCGGATGCTCCACGCTATCTTTGTAAGATCTTTTTTTTTTTTTGCAGTCTCTCCCACTGCAAGCTGCAGAGCAAAGGGGGCCAGTTTCCTTTCCCCACACCTCGGGTTGCCTGCCATTAGCTCTCCCCCAGTCCCAAGGCAAAGGCCCCAGCCCCTCTTCCTAGTGAGGACTCCTATCCTTCCATGGAGATCCCTTAGAAACACCGGTTTTCTTCAGCAAGTCCTTCCCAGTCCCCCCAGCTGGAGGTCTTGGCTTTCGTTTCTATGCTGCTCTGCCCCTTAGAATGTAGGATCCCAATCTGTCCCTGCAATGCACATGCTCCCCCTGCAAAGACCTACTGAATAAAAGCACAGGAAACCAAAGGCTCCCAGGGCTTCTTCAGAATGTCTAGGAAAGACCCTGCACCCATTTCTCAGGAAATGTTACTAGGGATGTGAGGCCTGGAGAAAGAAAACCGCCCCTGCAGAGCGCCCATCGCAGCTTCCCTGGGGCTTCAAGACCAGTGTCCACTGACCTTCCACGTGTGCAGGATTCAGCATCCTTGGGGCCTCAACTGCTTATCCATCCTGGGCCGATCCTCTGCATACGAGCCGTAAGCTCTCTCCCCGGGGTCCTCGCCCCCTACCTGTACGCCCTAGAAATCCTGCCTCCTTAGCTCAGCTTAGGGCCCAGGCTCCCCTCGGTGGGGTCTGTTAGCCTAGGCATCAGTACCCAGGGTCGGCCTCTGGGAGCCCCTAACCTCCTCACTCGGCCTTTGCTATCTGTGGCATCAGAAAGACTGACCCTTCGGCGCCAGCGATCCTCGTGGCCTTTTAGGCTTGGCCGCCATACACTCGGTAAGGCCAACAGCTTCCAAACACCCGACCTGCATAACCCCTTTGGGCGTTCCAACGCGGCGCCCCCTATTGGACCTCCCACCCATATCCGGTTTCCGGTCCGACGCCCCCTGCTTATTCGCTAGGCAACCTTGATTGGCGTGACCCCAGCCCAATGGCTGACCTGGAGATGGGGTCGGAGAAGGAGTGAGTCGTGTGTTTGGACCCAGTCAGCCCACTCTGGGATGCTCGAATCGGGTAGCCATTGCGCATGGGGATAGTTGGCCAAACTTTGAACCAAAGTTAAGTGTTGTAATCAGAAAGTGTATAAAACCGTAGAGCTGAGGTGACAGTCTTTAGGAGGCCCCGTATGTTGCTAAGGGACTGACTTCATCAGCTTTTTCTCTGCGCGGCACAGCTTCGTGGATGGTGGGTCGTGGGCGATGATGCTGCACCGTGGCTGTGGTACCCTGTGGGGTTCAGAGAAGGATGCATTAGACTTCACAAGATCAGACCGCGGCGTGCCCGCGCGAGGATCGCTGGGTTGCGGATTGCGGTGCCCCTCCTTGCCGCAGCCCAGTATAATTCGAGCGCATGGGCCATCGCTCCCCCATGCCCATGGGCAGAGCCACAATCCGTCCCCAGCTCAGCTGCTTTGCAAGAAAACGTGGCTCCCAAGTGCCTGTCACCTGCTGATGAGACGGATCGCAATGCGTGTGTTCCGTGTTTTAGGTGAACTGCAAGCGCGCATTTTTTTTTCCTCCCAGGCTCAAATCCCTCCGCAGACCCCAAGCTGAAAGCAATGCCCACGATACCTGGAGCCCCCTGGGCCCCCCGAGCTATTTACCCCCTCTTTAGCCCCCTGTGGGTTCAGAGCCCACCGCGGCACGGCAAGGGGAGCGCGGCCGGCCCGGCGAGTGTGGGCTTGATGGCCACCATTCGTGCCGCGGCATACGGTAACCGTGGAAAAGTAAAGCGGCTGCCTTGAGATTCTCCTAGCGCGGGGACGGGGACTCGTGGGGGGCTGGAGAGGGGCCCCTTGGACCCTGCATCGGGTGGCTGAGGCTGATAGCTGCGCACTTTGGCTGCCGCCGCCGGCGCAGCAGTTTCTCTTTAGGTTAAATGCGCAGTGTTTTTAAGACCACCGTAAATTTGCCGCGAACACCAACCAAAATATCCTTTGATCCTTTCCCAGAATGTAGAAATCCGGGGCCTGGGTTCCTTGCCCCCCCCACCCCCCCGTGTGCCCCGCGCCCACCCCCGCTGCCGCTGTTGCGTCTACTGCCTGGGGGCTTCACTTGGTTCTCCGTAGCGCGCACCTAAACCCTTTTATTCTTCTGCGTCATCATCTACAGAAACGAGGGTAACCCTGCCTGCACCATCCTACGCCACTGCCGAGATCCCCCGAGCATGGTGGTGGGGCTGGGGGCCATTGGGGTGATTTATCCGAGCCGACCTCGGCAAACAACAAACAAGAAAAATGTACCGAAGCGGCAGAAAGTACCCCAGAGCATTTAAAAAACAAGCCGTGTGCTCACAGGTGGCAGCCCCTCGCCCCTCGCCCCGCTCCCCCTTTCTCCCCCTCCAGTGGGCTCGCGACCACCTGTCGCATTCCGGCATCCGCGCACCGCTGCCCCTTCCCAAGCATCTAAAATCTCATTCTCTGAACTGGGAGCTCACAATCTGGGGCTGTCTGGGGCTGGGGCCCTGACTAAGGGGCTCACGGGTATTCTTGGGGTGATAAAATCTTCCGCAGTCCCCCCTCCCCCGGGAGAGTCAGCTGGGGAGGGAGGATTCAGCTCCTGTACTCCAGCGTCCAGAGGCCCACGTCTTGCATCACGTGTCCCGCAACGCAGGAGCGCTTTCTGTCTGGTCAGGGGAGAAGCGAGGAGAAGCGCTCCTCGTCAGTCGGAGAGAGGAGAGGACGGAGCTGAGCCATCCCTGCGAGCCCTGCGCTATTCAGCCCCCTTACCCAAAGTCCAGGATTGCTGGCGCCCGGAAGCCGGCTCCCGCAGCCGGAGCCGGCTCAGTGCTGGAACCTGCGTCCTCTGGTGGCTGAGAAAATGCTCTGCTAGCGATTTTCGGAGCGAATCGGCACGCTCCTCAGAAGTAGGCGGGTGAAACTGACCTGCAGCAAAGAGAAAAAGAGGAGAAGAAACCCTGGGTGAGTGGCCAGAGGGCATTCTGAGGGCACAACATGTGATCGGCAAGAGCCAAGACTTCATCAGCCAGAAGTGAGTAACTTCTGCCACAGCTTGGGGTCCTAGGCACGGAGCCCTCTTCAACCTTGCGAGGGTTACAAAGTGAGGCTGGGAGAACTTTCCAGCTGACACTTGGAATTTTTTAAAATAATTTTTTCACCCTAGTTTGGTTGGGCGCTCCGTCCTACGGGGCCCCAATTTATTTTTAAAGGCCGCCACCGTGTTATGGGCATGCGCAACCGCCTCCACGGCAATAATATGCCAGGACAACACGATAGCCCCCCTGAAATCGGGGAACAGCCCGAACAGCAACCTTTGGAGACCCCAGGGGCAGCTGCCCCCAGTGCTGGGTCTGGCGCAGCCGAAGAGATGGAGACCCAACCGTCCCACGATGAGCCCATCCCCTTCCAGGGCGAGGACGAGGGCGAGGTCAATGGACCCTCCGAGGTCTCCACGCGCAGCATCCAGGGCGTCAGCCTGGGAGTTGAGGAAGATGGAGCCCGTGGAAACTACAGCCCACCCCCTGAAGAAGCCATGCCTTTCGAGGTCGAGCAGCCCAGCTTGGGAGACTTCTGGCTTTCGCAGGAGCAGCCTGGATCCTCCAGTGGCGTCCGTGCGGGCTCTGAGGCTTCACACCCAGGGCTCATGGAGCCCCGAGCATTCAACGGTGAAAGAGCAGTTCCGGGAAGCTACAGTCCTCCACCCGAAGAAGCTATGCCCTTCGAGTTTGACCAATCTGCGCAGGGAGGCTGCAGCCCACCTATCTTGCAGGTCCCAGACCTTGCTCCAGGCGGTCCATGTGCAGGGGTCCCCAGAGCTTCCAAGGAGCCCCAATCCCTTGGTGCGGAAAATGCTGGCTTCGGAGGAGGATACAGCCCTCCCCCTGAGGAGGCTGTGCCATTTGAGCTTGACGGAGAAGCATTTGAGGACGGCAGCCCACCCCCCGGGCTCCCCCGAGTTATTCCACGAGTCGACAGTGACAGCCAGTTTGCGACTGACGCGGACGCAGTCCCGAGTCCGGTCCGCCTCGCTGCCGCCGCAAACACGCCTCCTCTGCGGGTCTCCAGCGCCAGCGGCAGCCCATCCCGTGAGGCAGTCAGACCTTCTCTTAACTTCGCGGGCGACAGCCCCCGGATGGAGATCTCCAGACCTGAGCTCAAGATTGGTAGATCCCCCACTGGGGTCGACGACGCTCCCGTCAACATGGACAGCCCCCCAATCGCGAAAGACGGCCCGCCCATCGAGGTGTCGGGAGCCCCAGATAAGAGAGAGCGAGCAGAGGGACCCCCAGCTGGAGACGCAGCAGAGATGGAAGGAGGTTCAGCAACCGCCAGTGCGGAGGAAGGAAAAGTCCCCTCGCCGGGGCATGGATCCCCTGCCTCCACGGCAGCTCCTAGCGCTTCAGCACATCCTGACTCCGGGTCAGTTTCTGTTGCGGCAACAGATCCCGACTCTGGGGCAGCGTTCGCTGCCACAACTGATCCTGACCCGGAGGCAGCACCTGCTGCCGCAGCGGAGCCTGACTCTGGGACAGCTCTTGCCTCGCCAAGCGAGCCCGACGCCCCAGAGGATCCTGGCTCGGAGGGAGCCCCAGTCGCTCCAGCCAATCCAGTCATCACCAAGGCAGACTCGGCTGCCCCAGTCGTACCCGACACTCAGGCAGTCGCCGCAGCGCCAAAAGATCCTGACGGAGCCGCCGGGACAGCCGGCGCCGATCCTGACACCGGAGGAGCCCCTGCGGCCGAAGCCAATCCAGGCTCCGCGAAAGCCCCAGCCGCTCCAGCCGCTAGAGCAGCTGCCCGGCTGCTCTCTGCCGCCGCAGCCAATCCTGGCCCCAGGGCAGCCCGCAACGCCCCATTCAGGTCTGATATCCGGCGAGTCCCGGCCGAACCGGCAATCCGAGCCGCCGCTGCTGCCCGAGCCAGTCTGGCTGTCCGATCGTTCTCAGCGGCTCCACTCGCCCGGGTACCCATTGGGCCCCGGGCAGCACCTATCGCCCGAGCAACGCCCGTCATCCGGACAGTCTCGACTACCCCGGTCTCCGGGGCCCCCCGGAGCCTCCATCTCCTCAGGCCCCCCAGCCCGGAGATTCAGGTTGCTGACCCGCCTACTCCGCGGCCTACTCGGGCGACCTCCTGGCGGGGCAAATCGGACCGTGGCCGCAGCCACCTCCGATACGAAGCACCGAGGCCGATCTGCGACGACTCCTCCAGCGATGAGTCCGAGGACGGGGCCACCGGATGCTTCCAGTGGCTTCAGCGCCGAAATCGCCGCCGCAGAAAGCCCCAGCGCAACTCATTCCGCAACTTCATCTCCCAAACCTTCGGGAGCTGCTTCGGTGGATCTGAGGGTCGCCAGCCCAGAGGCACGAGCCCCTCCAAGGTCAAGAAGGATTTTGCGGCCGGCACACGCAGACAGCTGCGCAAAGAAGCCATTGAGATGCGCACCCAGAAGCGCGCCGCGAAGAAACGCAGCAAGCTCATCGACAAGCAACTCGAGGACGAGAAGATGGGCTACATGTGTACGCACCGCCTGCTGCTTCTAGGTAATGCGGCGGACTCTGCCTTCGGGCAGCAGGGCCGCCCGGGTGTCCGGGGTGGGGGCGGCAGGTCTTCCCGGTGGGGCTCGGGGCTCGGTAGTGGGAGGAAGGGTCTGGTCAAAGGCGGGAAGAACCTCCTAGAAGTTCCAGGGAGGGACCCCAACTTTGCCCTGGGAGCGGGAGGGGTGTTGGGTGGGTTCAGGTGGCCGAAGTATGTGCCCTCTAGGGAGAAAAGTGATGCCGAGCGACAATGAGGGTCGTTTCCGGCTGGACAGGCCAGCGCCAGCGCCAGCGCCAGCGACCGTAAGCTGGACAGGCGACAGGCGGGGGCTTCAGGTGAGCCAGGAACTGCCGGGGAGGGCCCCTGAGGCTCCCCTGGCTCAAATGTGTGGGGCTGCGGTGGGCTGGGGTCGTTGGGGAAGGCGCATCCCCGCCTCGCCTGGCACGGCTGCTTGGTGTCAGACAGCTTATTGTTGGTGTGTGTTGGTGTCCATATTCTGTGTCGCCTGTGCATGATGTGCTCAAGTGTCCCCCAGTGACCCATCCCTGGCACCCCAAAACTACCCGCCGACTGTGTACTTGTACTTGTACTTGGGAACGGGCTGTCTTGTGATTTGCGCCACGGCGCGGGCCGAAACTTTCAGTGTGAGCTCTCTCCGGCGGTACCTGTGCGCGGCCGCGGTGCAGCGAGCAGCGCGAAAACGCAGGGCCGCTGGCGGGGCATCCTGGGAAATGTGCTGGGCCGCTGGCCGGGGTGGAGGGGCCGCTGCCCGGGGCCTCCATAACCTTTTTCCTGTATGTCTTTCTCTCTTTTTCCCTTTGCGCTAAGCGTATCCTCACTTCTCATTCGTTCGCCAAACCCTCCCGCCTTTACGGTTGAAAAACCAGACACACGGGTATCTGGAGCTCCGGGGCTGCACACAGAATTTCGGTATTGTGCACACACTCGGCTCATGTGGTGGGAGGATGGAGGGGGCGGGGGGACACCCACCCGCGGTCCGCAAGTCCGGTTCCAAAGGGGGGGCGTGGCTGTGTTTCCAAAATATGAAATGTGCTTTTTTTTTCACTAGCGAAGAGCCCGAGGTAAGCCAATCATTTATACTTTTACGAAGAGTACCTTAGTAGGAGGGGCTTGGGTTAAAAAAAAAAAAAAAAAAAAAAAAAGAAAGAACTCGTTTAAAGAAAAAAATCAGCACATGATAACAGAGAAAAAAGATAGGAGTTGTGTATTGGGAGTAAAATGTCTTTGTGTTTGAGATGCAATTAAAATAAAAAAAGTAAAATCCTCTGTGTGTGTTTTTAAGTATGGAAAACCATGAAGAGAACGTTTGAAATATGTAAATGATTGCATGTGAATTTTTTTAAGCAGCTTTAGCTGGTGGCAAAGAGGCTCAAAGGTAAGCTCTTCTGCTAATTGGCTTTTTTTTTTCTTGCTAATTGGCTTTTGATACCCCTAAATTTTTAAAGGTCCTATGATTAAGGTTAAAATAATGCTATGCAATCAGAAAATGCCTTTGAAGGCCCCTGCCTGTCCCCCTCTACCTCATCCCAGGACTCAGTGCCCCAGCCCCTCCAATTCCTCACCCCTCTGACTTCTAAGTCAAATCAGGGCATTAACTCATTTTGTCATAGTTAATTGAAGCAACTATTAACAATGGGCTGGATCTGTGGTTTTAATGCAAATTGCAAAAGTGAAGCTCTATGACCTTAAAATCTTTCAAGGGATTTCAAGATCACAGTTTCTAAGGCTGTGCTACATTCGTTTGTGAAGTATTTTATAACGTGTGGTGGCTTTTATTAATGACATTATTGGCATAACTATGTTCCTGCCAATCATAGATTCAATGGGATGGTCATTTTACTAATGCTTACCTGAGGAAATAATGACATTATCCTTTGCTGTAAAATATACAAAAAGAGATAGTTTTAAGTGTCAGATGTCTCAACTATATCTAGGCTGTAGAACTTTAGATGACAATGTACCAGTTTCCCTGCAGACTACTGATTTTGCCATAATAGATCCATTTTCATTGTTCCAAGCTTAGCTGGAGGAGAGTGCAAAGCTGGGAACTGGGGGGCAAGAGGGATACAGCTGACTTCAGATCTGACCCGTAGCTGGCAAGTTGACAGTGTCCCTTCTGTGCCAGGGCCTCATGAAGTAAAGCTCCCCAGCAAGACTTTCTGACTTCATTCTTCCCCCCACCCCCCGCCGCCCCCCACACACCCCGGGCTGAGGAGGGGAGGGGGAGAGCAGAGACTATGCAACTGTCAGCCGTGTGGCACCAAAATGTCTGAGTCTGGGGCTAGGTCTTAGGAATATGAAAGTTTCCCTTGTCTCCTCAGTTTGTCAGGGGTGGAGATGATTAATCATGAGAAAAATAAATTTGTCAGGGCACTCTGCCACTGTCCAGTCTTTGCTCCTCAGGTACTGGTCACCAAGGAAGTCTGAATGCAGCAGTTCCCAGCACACAGGCTGGCAAGCCTTGGGCCACTCCCTGACATGAGCCTGAACCAAGATGCCAGGGATACCTGCTTCCCGCCACTGGAGCTGCAGCTTGTGGAACCAGGCTTCAGCCTCCCAGCAGGAGGCCACAAGTTACTGAAGTGACAGGACAGGTATCCTACCTGGATCTGAGTTCCTAGCAAGGAAGGGGAGAGGAGGATTTACCCACAGGGAGGGAAACACTTTTTATTAAATTACTGGTGCCAATATATGCAAGAAAACATTCGTAGAGTCCTGAAAATGCAGGTCAAATGGCCATCCTTTGATGTGATTCCTAATTGGTGCTATGCTGCTTTACCTGTTGCTTTGAAAATGTGTTTTTACATGTGCACAGTCTCAGTTTTTATTGCCCAAACGTCCTCCCCACATTACACGGAGCTTTAAAAAGAAAGAAAAATAAAAAATAAAAAGAAATAAAAATAAAAATTCTAGGCTATCTAAAGAGTTAAAAGCCTTTTGCTGGCTTGGTACGATCCAATGCTGGATTTCCCTTCCCTTGGTTCTTTGCTCCTTTGAATAATTTTGGTGGCTTAGACTTTTTTTAAAAACTTACATTAGGTGTGATTCCCTTGTTTAAGAATCAAAAGGGTCTACTCGGTCAGTCTCTTAGCATCTGCTGCATTTATTAAAATTTGCAGGCACATGCTGTACATAATAACAGGCATTTTGCTACAGCAGCATTTTGGTGCAGTGAATCAGTTAGGTGCATGGTCATTTATCTGTGCCTCCCAGAGTAACAGGGAGGCATTGCGCCCCATCCTACAGAAGTGCTCTTTTTCTTCCTCTTTTTCTCCTCTTCTTTTTCCCCGCTTTTCCTTATTCACAAAGGACTTTCCTTACCAGGCCACAAAATTTTACAAGTAAGAGAGATTTTTTATTCTTTGCCCTCTTGTGTCTCCCAGTAGGATTCACGTTTCTCAGAGGCCAAAATTTTGCCCTGCCTTTTACCATCAACATGTTTTCAAAACTTTTCTCACATATGGCAAGACTAATTTTAAAAATTAGCCCAGATTCTCCACGATGAAATGAAACTGGTCTTGGATAGAGAGACAGGACGGGGTCGCCTCCTTTCTGAATATTTTCTCCTAGCTGAAAGGAAAAGTTTTATTGCTCTGTGTTGTTTAGTGGTCAGTAGTGGTAATGACAACACAGTCTGATTGCATTTTACTTTTTCAGAAGCCTTCTATACAGTCCCATTTGTTCTTTGAAACAGTGCTGGGCAATAAAAACATGATCAAGCCCCATTTCATTAGCAAATAAACCAAATGCTCAGAACTTAAATGCCAGGGATTTTTTTTTTTTTTTTTGCTCAAAGACTGTAAGGTAAGTGAAGGATCTAGAACTCAGATAAGATGATGCCCACCAAAGCCATGACAAGCTGTACCTAAATGTAAAGCATGATTATTGTAAATCTGTGTCTCTTCAAATCCCTTGTCATGTGACAGGTGTCTATCGGTCTACTGCCCTTTGAATGATACCCAGACCTGGACAGATGGCTGGGTGTAGATGACCATGAAGTGTACCTGCAATGTGAACTCCCCACTTCTCAGATACCTGTCATTGTTATGATGATCACTTAATTTTCATATTTGTGTGAACTCACTGCAACACTGTAATCTGCATTTGTTTATTCGGCTTTTTTTTTTTTTTTTTTTTTTAATGCAGACTTTCATGAAAGCCTTTTGTTTTTTAATCTCCCCTTGTTTTCTTTAACAGGGTCTAAAGCTTTTCTCATTACCCAGGTTAATAATTAATAATAATGTAGTTGCTTTTACAATAGCAACCCTGCACCTTCAGTCCTGTGGTACTTAGGACTTAGTCTGTACCTAGTGATCCTATTTGAATAAGTACTCAAAAGTTCTTCCTAGGTTTTTGGTTGTTTTGTTTTCATTTTAGTTTAGGGATGATTCCCATTTGTGATATTAGAAATCACCTTTTGTTTTTTAGGGAGGTTTGTTGTTTTTGTTTGTTTGTTTGTTTGTTTGTGGGGGCGGTGATGAGGCAGGATTTCACTTGTACCCCAGGCTGGCCTCAAACTCACCCGGATCCTCCTGCCTCAGTCTCCCAAGTGCTGAAATTACAGATGTGCACCATCACGCCTGGAAGAAATCACCTTTGACCCTTTGACCTTTTTTTTTTTTTTT